CTCCCCCTGCTTGTGTTCCCTCTCTCGCTGTGTCTCTCTCTGTCAAATAAATAAATAAATAAAATCTTTAAAAAAAAAAAATAAAGGAGGTCTTTTCATGCTGCCTGGCAGTCATACTGCCATCTGTGGGAGCATGTACTCTCCCCTTCTCCCAGATGACTATTTTATACCCCTCAGTAAGAGTTTTTGATTGATCATTGCAGGAAAAAAAAAATACTTTCAGTCATATTTTAACAAGTACCAGTTTATTATTTTCCTTGTAATTTCCTTTTTTTAAAAATCAATTTTGTTGACATCTGGTAAAGGCAGAATTGTCATTATTTTAAAAAATTTTATTTTTTAATATGTTAACCATATGGGACATGAATACATTTAATGGTGCCTATAATAAGCTGCCTTTCTTTTGGAGGTACAAAATCATTAGAATCTACCTACCTCTCCAGGTTTTATAATATAATTACATTCCTAAAAAGAGGATTCTTAATTTTCTTTCTTGAATCCATGTCAGCAAGATTGTTTTTCCCTGTTTATTTATTTATTGATGTAGTGTTCCATGATTCATTGTTTGCGTATAACACCCAATGCTCCATTCAGTACGTGCCCTCCTTAATACCCATCACCAGGCTAACCCATCCCAGCAAGATTAATTTTATGTCTCAAGTAACTTGATGTACAGTTTTTCTAGAGATGTGGAATAGTCAGGAATAATCTGTAGGGTTATTTAACTTTCCATGGAGATTTTCTTTTTTTTTTTAAGTTATTAAAATATAAAAATTGCAGCAATAAGTGTATACATTTCTTGGAAATCGTATGAATATACACACTATAGGGGAAAATACAATTATAAGTGAGAGTTTTTAAACATACTCAGGAATTCTGATGAAGTTTTATAGTATATAAATTTATTGGGTTTGTAGATTTAACTTTATTCATTTTAGATGTTCTCAAGCAGTGCTGAAGATTCATATTAATTTCTAATTTTGCTGAGGCATGAATCAGGTAACGCTGACTTACAGGTTTGCTTAACCAGTGAGTGATCCTAGTTTAGTATCCACAATGCCATGGGATTATGTTTTCTAATTTATGTTGTATATACATGTGATTTCTGTTAAGGCTCTGAAGGTTCCCTTAATGTTCTTAGTTATGTTTAGGTCATCTTCAGTAATTACTGAAGTTACATGCTTTTAAAGTATTTGAGAAAATTCACAAAGGTCTTAAAACATATTTCTTGTGAAATGAAAATATCCTAATACATCTCTGTTGTTTTAGACCTCAGCTTTGAAGTTGCTAATTATGGTAATGTTGTTTATAAAATATGTGTGATTAGGTTAATTTTAAAATTAAATCCCAGCATACTTCATGGTGTGTTTTATTTTGTTTTTGTCTTTGTTTTCGAAGTAGTTGACTGAATGTCCTTTAATTCTGTAATAGGGGAAAACTCTTTGAGATTTTAAAGTTTATTTTATTATGAAATTTTGTAGTATAGAATTATTGCCTGACGTTAATCATAGATTGTGTATAAGGCATGCATCTTCTTCACTTTGGTATTCATTTCTAATACATGAATATATAATTTGTAGTTGAATAAATGTGTCAGTGCAAATTTAATATGTATACAAGAAACATGTGAATTTTTTTCTGACTTTAGGAGGTGATAGCAAAATATTGCCGAAGCAGTCTCTTTAAAATAAAACAATGCCAATTAAAATCCTTTAATACCTCCCTCCTGCTCTTAGGACATGCCCAGTGACTGGGACATAAAGTTCTTTATTCTCCAATTTTATCATCTCTGATTTCACTATATAAGAAGCTTTTGCTTTGCTTTACTGATTAAATCAGTTTCATGTCTCAAATGTACCCTGCCTTTGCACATATTCCCTCTCCTTGAAATTTTCCTTTCCTTTATTCACTGCTAATTCATCATTAGAGATTTATCTTGAGTTTATCTTCTAAAGATAAAGATATTATCTAAGCCTTTCCCTGCAGCCCAGTCTAAATTGCATCTGCAGTGATTTTCTTTCCTTACTTTGCTTTATTTATTTACAGCCCTTACTATGCTTGACATTATATTATTAAAAGAATTAATACCTATAGAATGTTTAGAACAGTGCCTGTCATATAATGGGTATGTATAAATTTTTGAATGAATGAAAGATAAAACATTCTCTTCTATTTTTATATTAGTTCTGATCATTGATGTTATTTGCATATTCCTAACTGTTCCTTCCCTTTAGCATTGTTGACATTCTTGACTCAAGCTTGAAGTCAGTCTTCTAGCTAGGGAATACCCATATCTGAAGGTTGTTAAAGATTGGCATTTTAAAGTTACCTATCTGTGCAAAAAAAGAATTATCTATCCAAAACTTTCTAGGAAAAAAAAAAGCCTTGAGTACTCTGGCCTGTGTTAATTAAGAGTCATAAATAGTTAATTCAGATATTACTAGAAAATACTACATATCAAAAAGTAATACTCTTTCAGGGTCAGTGTTAAATAATAGGCCTATCCTTCTCACTTCCAAGTATGTACCAATGAATTAAATCCATTTGACATAATTATATTTTTCCTCTGCAAGGCCTTAGATTTCAGTGATGATGAAAAGGAAAAAGAAGCCAAACAGAGGAAAAAATCTCAGATTCAGGGCCGGAAAAAATTCAAGTCTGAATCTAATGAATCAAGTGAGTAAATGCAATATATAGTAATTTTTTATCTTCACTTAACATTTATATAAGTCGATAAACTACTAAAATTGAAGGAAACATGTGGGATCTCTCTTTACCTCGTGGCATTCATCTAACATAGGAGGCTTTACACAATACGAGATGTGGCAGAGGAGAGTCATGAGGGATATTCAGTGTTAGTTTTTCAAGCTTAAGTATGTAAAAATGGCTTCTAGGGGTAAAACTAAGCCTTGTTAGTCATTTGTGCATATAGGCACTTTTTTCTTAAGAAACCTCTTTGCTTCCATATTTAGAATTAAATGATAGGGTACTTAATACCTAAATCAAAGTATTTTATTTTTTAACATGCATTTCCATTCATTATGCCTTTCAAATTTTAAAGGAAACTTTAAAAAAAGTTAAACTTTTTATAGATTCACACACAGTTGTAAGAAATAATTGAGATTTTCTTGCATGTCCATTACCCACTTTCCTGAAATGGTAACATATTGTAAAACTATACAGTACAATATCACAACCAGGATATTGACATTGAGACAATCGGATACAGAATATTTCCACCACAGAAAAGGATCCCCCATGTTGCCTTTTTATAGTCACTCCCACTTCCCTCCCTCCCACCTCCTTAACTTCTGGCAATTACTAATTTGTTCTCCATTTCTATAATATATTTTGTCGTGTCAAAAATGATTACATAAATGGAGCCACACAGTATGTTACCTTTAGGGATTGGCTTTCATCACTGAACATAATTTCCTGGAGATTCATCCAGATCGTTTTATGTGTCATGTTTGTTTCTTTTCATTTAGGAGTGTAGTATTCCGTGGTATGACTATACTACTGGTTGTTTACCAGTCATGAGTTGAAGGACATCTGGGTTGTTAACATTTTTTGGTTACAGGAATAAAGTTGTTTTATGTATTTGTGTTCAGATTTTTGTGTGAATGCAGCTTTTCATTTATCTGGGATCAATGTCTAAGAATAATTGCTGGATTATGTGGTAGTTGGATTCCCATGACCAGTGTATGAGTGACTCAGTTTCTCTGCTTTCTTACCAACATTTGGTTTTGTCACTTTTTTATTTTAGTCATTCTGATAGGTGTGTAGTGATATCTAATTGTGATTTTAATTTGCATTTTCCTAATGGCTAAAGATTTTGAACATCCTTCCATGTCCTTATTTGCTATTTGCATATCTTCTTCAGTGATATATTTGTTCATGTCTCTTGCCCATTTTCTAACTATATTTCTGCTTTTTTGTTCTTGGAGTTACGAAGTTTGTACATAATTGTTCCAGCCTGTAACTTGTATTTTTATCCTCTCAAGAGGGCCATTTACAGGACAAAAGGTTTTAAATTCGATGAAGCCTAATTTATTGTTTTCCTTTTGTGGAGTCAGAATTTCTTGTCTAGACCTACATTCCAGATTTTTCTTCTGTTTTTTTTCCTAAAAGTTTTCGAAGTTATTTTAGCTATTCTAGTTCCTTTGCTTTTCCATATGCATTTTATAATAATCTTCTCTATATTGGCAAAAGTCTTGCGGGGGTTTTTTTTTTTTTTTTTCCCTTCTTAACTTGCTGGGATTTTAATGGGAGTCGTGTAAAACCTGTTTACTGGTTTGGAGAGAATTGATACATTAACTGTATTGAGTCTTCCATTGTGCAATAATGGTATACATCTCTATTAATTTAGATTTTTGGTTCTTTTCAGCAGCATTTTGTCATGTTTAGAATACAAATTCTGTTTTTTTTTTTCATTAGTATACACCTAAATATTTAATTTTTCAAGTCATTGTAAATGGTTTTGCATTTTTAGTTCCAGTGTCCATGTTTTTGTTGCTAGAATATAGAAATAAAATTTATGTTTGTACGTTTAGCTTATATGTTGTGACCTTACTGAACTCACTAGTTCTAGTTTTTTCTTTGAGATTTTCTGCTTAGCCAACTATGTCAGTTGCAAATAGGGAGAGTATTCTATCTGTTTTTGTTGTTCAAACTGTGTGGGTTTTTTTTGTCTCCCTTTCTTTCTTTTACTAGCTCTAGCTTCTGGCACTATGTTGAATAAAATGTGCTTTGTTCTTGATCCTAGGAGGAAACATTGTCTTTCATCATTAAGTATAATTTAGGTATAGGGGTTTTGTAGATGTTCTTTATCAAGTAAATTCCCATCTATTCCTATTTTTTGGAGATTTTTTTAAAAAAAAAATCTGTTAAATTTTGACAGTACTTTGATAAGATGACATGATTTTTTGTCAGTAGCCTGTTAAGGAGATTACACTGGTTTTAGAATATTGAACCAGCCTTTGCATCACTGGAATAAACCAGAGGTGGTCATAGTGTATAATTCTTTATATGTATATTATTGAATTCTCTTGTCTCTTTCTCTGATGATTTTCTTTGTTCTGAAATCTATTTTATCTGATATTAATGTAGCTACTCCTTTTTTTTTTTAAACAAAAAGATTTATTTATTTGATAGAGAGTGAGCACTAGCAGGGGGAGCAGCAGAGGGAGAGGGAGAACCAGACTCCCCACTGAGCAGGGAGCCCAACATGGGGCTCGATCCCAGGACTCTGGGATCATGACCTGAGCTGAAGGCAGATGCTTAACTGACTGAGCCACCCAGGCATCCCACTACTCCTTTATTTTGATTAATGTTTGCATGTTGTAGCTTTCACTATCCTTTTACTTTCAACCTGACTATATCCTTTGAAATGAGTATTTTGTAGACATATAGTTGGGTTATGTTTTTTAATCCACTCTGCCAGTCATTCTCTGTGTTTTAATTGATGTATTTAGACCATTCATATTTAATGTAATTATTGATGTTTTAGGGCTGGTCTGCCCTTTTCCATTCATTTGCTCTGGTTTTCATTTCTGTTTTCTTTTATCTGACTGCTTGTCAGCACTGTAACATTTTTTAGAATTCCATTTTGATTTATCTGTAGTGTTTTTGAATGTATCATTTTGTATGATTTTTTTCAGTAGTTACTAAATTTAGGTATTAAATTGTATATACGTTACTTATCACAATCAATTGGTGTCATTGTTTTGCCAGTTTGTGTAGAACTTTACCTCTTAGAAACTTTACCTCTTTATGTCCCTTTATTTTCTCTAGTTTATAATGTGAATTGCCTTAAATAGTTCATATATACAATTAGAATCATGTTACCAATTATATTTACTTCAACCATCAAACATTTAGAAAATTCAAAGAAGGACATTTTATTGTATTTACTCATATTTTTGTCATGTTCTTCCTTCCTGATGTCTCAAGTTTCTTTCTTTTACTGTTTCTGCTTAGAGAACTTGCTTTAGTCATTCTATCAGTGTAGATCTGCTGGAGATAAATTAATAGTTTTTCTTCATTGTAGAATGTCTTTAGTTTCCCTTTTTTCTTGAGGATATTTTCATTCCATTTGGAATTCTGGATTGAGTTTTCTTTCAGCACTTGAAAATGTTGAGCCACTTTCTTCTGTCCTCTATGGTTTCTGATGATACATCTGTTGTCCTTCCTGAGCCTCTGGACTTTTGGATTCATTAAAAATTGATAATTTTAAGCCTTATGCTTTTTTAGTTACCATAAGACAATACCAGAAGTTAAAGAAAAGGCATTTTTGAAATTTTAAGCAGTGTTTTTTGATGTACTAAAATTAATTTTAATTTTGTTTTTATGCTTTTTTCTTCACTCAAAGGTGAAAATTTTTCAGAAGTACATCAGAATTGGAATGTTCATAGCTCTGCTTCAGAGCATTCAAAAGGATATCGTAACAGAGAATTCTCACGAGGATTTTCCCGGGGTAGATATCCTCGACCTTGCCACGGCAGGCCTCCATCGCCACAGTTTTATAACTCTGAGCATATGGTGTTTCAGGAGACTTCAGGATTTCCACCTCAGAGACAAGAGAATCCTATCATGCCACAGTATCCCTTTCCTCCTCCAGTGTTTGACATGCACAGTTTTTCACTCCCTCCTCCTCTACCACCACTCCCTCCACCTCCACCACCTGCATCTGTAAACCTGGGGTGGGCTGCACCTAACATGGCACCTCATCCATTAATTCCCTTACCATACTCCATTCCCCCCCCCCCCCCACCACTGCCTCCACCCCCCTCTTCTGGGGATAGTACTTCTTCCCATTTTGGATCCTACTACTAGGTGACTGTATACGTTTCTGGAGAAATCTGGATTTTTTATATTATATGGGAAGAATTTTTTTTTTTTTTTTTTTTAAAGAAAGCAGTTAGGGGGCTAGATTTTTAACATTGTAAAATACTAAATGATTCCTTCAGTTGTAAGTTGATATATATTTGTAATCTTTGTGAAATTGTATCCATATGAAAATTTCACTTTTGTGGAGGAGAAAATCTAACTATGTAATATTTAATTAAAACTGAATCCATGTTTTCCCTATCCCTGCTCAATTTAACAGTGTATATAGGTCTAATAGATCTGGAGCAACTTTCATCATGGGTTAAAATATATTGAACACATCGATTGTCTTCTTGGTATATCTGAAAATAAGATGTTGAAATCTTGTTGAGAGTCTTTAAAATAAACTATTTTTACAAATGTATACTTTGAAAAGTGATTCTGATTGTCAATGCAATTTACCAGTAACTGTAAATGTCTTTTTTATTGTTATGTTAATCACCATACATTATATCATTAGTTTTTGATGTAGTGTTCCATGGTTCATTGTTTGCTTATAACACCCAGTGCTTTAGAGAGGGAGAGAGAGAGAGAGAGAGAGTGAGTGTGGTGGAGAGGGGCGGAGGGAGAGGGAGTCCCAGGCAGACTCTGCACCAAGTGCACAGCCAGACACGGGGCTTGATTCCACAACCTGAGGTCATAACCCAAGCTAAAACCAGGAGTTGGACATCAACCCACAGTGCCACCCAGGTGCCCCCACCCTTTTTAAAAAAAATAAAATAAGGATACAGAAAAGAAAACTCTTCAATATTGATAGATGTTCTGACTATAAAGTTCACATTGATTAATTATGCATAGGCAAGCTTTTCATTATCTATACAGGTTTCTAGAACTTAGGCATTATTCAGTAGACTTTACTATTAATTAAAGGGACACAGTGGTTATTCATAATAAAATATAATATTCACAATGAAGTAGATGTAACCCCATATTAGGACACTGTCTTCTGTATCTATTTTCCAGATTCTCACATGCCTGGCACAGATTAGGTGCTTAATAAGTATTTATTGAATGACTGAATTTAGAGCTTTTAATTAAATTACCACTAAATGTTATTTTACCTCGTGAAATGTAAATGCAAAGAAAATTATGGAATTTTAGAAATAGAAGAGGCCTTAGAAGTAGTTTAAACTAGTCCTCATTTAGCAGGTAATGAGGAACCTAAGGGTTCCAATTTAAGTAATTTAAGATAACTCAATGGGATGACAAGGAGTTGAACCTAGTTTTCTTGATTTTCACATCAGTACCTCTTATTAAATTGTTGCTTCCCAATCTTTTATTCCTTGACACTCTTAGAAAATAGTATTTTTATGCACATCATTGGGGTAATCTGGAGATCATTCATCACAACCCCATGGCCCTTCACGTCCCTGGAGGCTGGTTTCTGGGGCCCAATTGAGAAGTTCTTGCTTTGGTATACATTGACTTTATCATATGTTGTACTTTATTATTCTTCCTTGAAATGTGTTCGTAGCTTCTCTTTAGGAGTTAACCTTCATAGTTTATGGCAGTCTTTTTTTTTTCTGGTTGATAGAATATTCTTAGAATTGAGATTATATCTGGAAGTACTAAAAACATTTTTCTACAACAATGGAAAGAGTGAGATGTTAACATTCAATTACAGTATATCAACAAGCCATTGTAATTGCCATGGCATTTAAAAAATCTTTGAACCTCTGTGCCTTAAGTACTGGTGTCTGACTGTAGGTATTATCTGATGAATATAAAATGCGATAAATAAATGATGGTGGCTTCTCAAATGTTCTCTCAGTATCAATAGCCACTGCACTGTGCAAAACCTGTTATTGCAACTTTTAAAACTGTTTATTGTGTGCTCGCATAACATACAGGAGTGCTGTGGAAATCATTTGCTCTCTCCCCCATCTCATTGCTCTTGCACATATCTGTTTGACTAGGCATCATGTAGTGTTTAATCTTAGGATTTGGGACTGTCAGGCTCATTTATGTAAGCTGTGTTAGTAGCTGATTCATTCAAAGCAAATAATTTTCTTTAGTGTTAGTTTGGTTTTTGACCAAGTGTACTTGCTAGTATATTTATTGGCAGCAACATAAGCTCAAATGAATTCTGTTTGGCAAGGTTATGAGCAGAAAAATATTTAAGGGCAAAAGAGGGGCGCCTGGGTGGCTCAGATGGTGAAGCGTCTGCCTTCGACTCAGGTCATGATCCCAGGGTCCTGGGATCGAGTCCCACATCGGGCTCCCTGCTCCTTGGGAGCCTGCTTCTCCCTCTGCCTCTCTCTCTCTCTCTGTCTCTCATGAATAAATAAATAAAATCTTTAAAAAAAAAAGGCATAAGAGAGTAACAAGACATTAACTATTAACACATTCAAATACAGTTAGTTTGAACCATATGAAATTCCCTACACAGTAAGACATTTCAAATGGTCCAATGTAATATATGGACTATAAAATATATTGCTTCTCATATTTTTCTTCATAGAACATCTCTCTGTACCATTACTTACCAGAACACATTTTGGGAAATACTTGTCATGGATGATAGCTGGCAGAAATTCATAGTAGTGAACATTTCTAAGAGATCTCTATCTCTAGTCTTGCTAAGAGGACAATCTATGAGAAGATCATGGGGCCCAGAAGAACTATTAAAATATTCTGTATTAGGTTAGGAAAATACTGTTCTTTAGTGTAGACTTTGTGGTTCTTAACCTGAGGTTTGTTCCCCAGTTTTCTAGAACCCACTAAAAACCTGTGAGATGGACATTTTTCTAGGAGAGAGGGTTCTTGAATTTCATCTTGTTTTTAAGTAATATATGAAGAGAAAGAAGATGGAGAGAGAGTCTTTCAAAAGGTTTTCTCCTTTTGAAGCAGGTATAACAGTAATAACAGTATAAATCTTTCTCAAATTTGGTAATACACAAATCCTTTCATTAAAAAGTGTTGTGGAGGGGCGCCTGGGTGGCTTAGTCAGTTGGGTGTCTGCCTTTGGCTTGGGTCGTGATCCCAGGGTCCTGGGATCAAGTCCCACATCGGGCTCCCTGCTCAGCGGGGAGCCTGCTTCTCCCTCTCCCTCTGCCTGCCGCTCCCCCTGCTTGTGCTCTCTCTGTGTCAAATAAATAAATAAAATCTTAAAAAAAATAAAAAAAGTGTTGTGGATCTCCAAGAACATATCCACAGACCACAGTTTGGGAAACACTGAGTTATGCAACTAAATTTCTTTCTATGCAAATCTCCTTTCAGTTTCTTATAGAATTTTTATACCTGCAAAAATATATCTATAGACCTCAACTTAAACAATTGTCTTAGACAATGTTGGGTTTCAAATGGCTGTAGAGGAAAAACCTCCAAATGACTATAGGAGTAAACATTTAACATTCTTAGATGTCTTGAAAATGTCCAGCATGTATGTTTCTGCACAATGAGGAATTTTTTTATAATTTAGACTTTAGATAGGAAATCACTCTTACACTACTAGAAAGGGGCAGTATCTTCAGTTTAACAAATTTGGTCGTCTATGTCCACTTTACAGAGCTCATTCTAGGCATATTGTGATGAGAGGTGAAATTTGACCAAATTAACAAAGTCTAAGGACATTTCTACAAATACTGTAAATGTCCATACATAGGAACAGCTGAAAAGGGAAACACCTGAATGGACCACAGAAGATGATCCAGAAAAATTTCTGGGAGGAAAAATGGAGATTAAGCCAAGATGAGACCAGCCAGGCATAATCAGCAATGGCATCTCTCCCATTTCCTCAGGACAGAGGATGTGGAAGATTACATATAAACTATCTCTTAAAGTTGTATAATTTATTTTTGTTACAGAAAAGGAAAATGTATAGATTGCTCATTAAAATGTGAATTCAGTCACGCTAGTTGATAGACTTTTTTAGTTTTCATAAATTTTTAGTCAAATAATATATCTAGATACTTTTACATATAGCTCTCTGAACTGAGTGGGCATTTAAAGACTGTTCCCAGTGTGTTCAAGCAGCATTATCCCTTTCAAAATGTTCATTTAAAAAGTTTCATTTTTGTGAATGCAACATGAAATATAATAATAGGCTTAATTCTCATACTCTACTTACATTGTCATAATACACATGACACTTTATTGTAACTGATTGTATTGATCTCCCATATTGAAGTATAATTTCCTTGAGGACCAGCACTGTTTGATCACATCTCTCTGTACTCTGAGCACACAAATGATATTCAAGAGACAGTAATTGCAACCTTGTTGCCAGATGCTTCTTGCTGATTCATAACCTGTGGGATTCTACTTTGTGTTTCTAAAATACAGTGGTTTATGTGTGTTCATTCCAGATGAATGCCACAGTATTAGTGATAATTATTTTTATTTAATAACTTGAAAGTATTTCTCAGGATATCAGAAATCTATCTTGGCAAAGATTTTCAGGTCAGATGTGCCTCAAAAATGGCCCAGAGACATCAGTAGAAAACGGATTTACTTGTTTTTTGGAACTTGTTTTGATAATACTCTATCAACACTAATGTGGAAATGATAACATTTTGACAGCAAAATTAATGATTTTTTTCCTCAAGATAATAAAATATGCTTAAAATTCATATTTTAGATGATACCAAATATGGCTATTAAATTCTTTATTAATAAAGAATGATAAATTTACTGTGGGGTTTTTGGGCTGATCTCTATATTGGTCATCCAATAAGATTATATATATGCTGCTCCATCCATAAATAAACCTTTCAGAGAGCAAACCTTATAGATAGCAAAGAATAATGAATGATATACATATATATAAGGTTTCCAGAGAATTTAAAACTAAAGATTAAGAAGAGAAGGCTTAGTATTCTAGGAGATATTTGCTTTCCCCTCCAAATTTTCTCTACTTTGTAAAATGGCTTCAGGTTGAGAAAGCCACTTGAGATCATGGCACTAGATTCATTTGTAAATATGAAAAAAAAAAAAAACATAGAAGCACAAATCTTCTGAATCTCTTGTAACAACTGATAGAGAAGTACTTATAATTTGCTGTTAATATTTCTTTAGGTTAACCACCCGAGTGGAAATTGGGGTTATGGAGCCATTGAGCTTTCTTCTTCTTTTTTTTTTTTTTAAAGAATTTATTTGCCAGAGAGAGAGAGAGCACAAGCAGGGGGAGCGGGAGAGGGAAAAGCAGGTTCCTGGCTGAGCAGGGAGCCCGACGTGGGACTTGATCCCAGGACTCTGAGATCATGACCTGAGCCAAAGGCAGACACTTAACCAACTGAGCCACCCAGGCATCCCAAGCCATTGAGCTTTCAACTGCTCATTAATTTAATAAACATCTGTTCTGTGCTTATTATTGGTCATCTATTTAATGCTGGGGATACAACCCTTAGAGGGCAATTGTTGGAA